GGGAGGGGACACAAAACTCTTACAAGCGCTATTAGCGGCCAGCAAAAAATCAATAACCAGAAAGTGGTTAAATCCAAGTCCGCCAACACTTGAGGATTGGTTTAATGTGGTTTTCGAAATATTTAAAATGGAAAAATTGACATTCTTTTTAAAAATTCGAAAAGACAAATTCTACAAAATATGGAATAAATGGATTAGCTTTGTGTCCCCCATCTGCCCTGAATTTAGGTAAGACCAGCCCTGAATTGGTGTATCTCCCATGTATCGTACAATGTCAGGTTGACCCTCAACTTTATAATATGTACCTAATGTAGTCTTTGTAGACAAGTTAAACATGCTGCATCATGTAACACACTGTCAAGCCAATGAGTTAATCTTATTTTTTTTGCTATCAGAATGTAAAACAAAAGGACGAAGAAAAAGTTTTGTTTGTTTTTTTCCTTTTTTTTTCTTTTGACTAAATAATGTCAATGCACTTTATTGTAACAAGTCCCCTTTTTTTCTTCAATAAAAATATAATTAAAAAAAAAAAAAAGCCATGTTTGTTTGTTTTTAATTATAAAGTCTTAACAGAGACAGGAAAGTCAGAGAATGCAGGAAATGCAGTCCGAAGTGCTGCAAATGCATTTTATATTCAGACTTACAGCCAAAGCGTGGATTCTCCAGGTTGGGCTGAGTTTGCCTCCACTGGATCCATCGCTTCCAGGCATCGACTCCATATTCACTCTTCAGTTTTGGGATTTCTACTTCCACGGGCTTTTTGGAAGTACTCTTTGCCGAAGACGTTTCAGCAGCCTTAGACTGACGCTGTGGCTTACGACCCTGTGATAACATATAGAGGATGTATTATGGGTATAATGGGGACATTTTAGACAACACAGACCAAAGTCATTCAAGTACTTATTGTATTTTGTATTTCCTTCTGATATCTGTACCTGAGCTGAGGTGACGCGAAAATTTCCCCGTTGTGGGATCAATAAAGTCTTATCTTATCTTATCTTATCTTAAGTCATTCAAGTAACAAGTCTTGCAGCTCTGCAGCCTTTGATAAAACCATGCTGGTTATTTTTATGCCCCCATCTAAAGGAAGGGAGACACTTAAAACTTTCATTTAAATTTTAAAAAAAAAGAAGGAAAAGGTTGAAAACCTACTATGTTATACTACTACTACTGTTTCCTGTTTTGACACATAATTATGGGTGGAGGGGTCACACAACGCCATCTTTTTGTTACATGATCTCCTTCTCTAATGTTTTGTTGCATATGAAGCCAGCTTTAGATATGTAAGCAGCAGTTACCCTCTTCTCTCTGGCTTTCCTGTGAGCTTGTCGTCGTACTGGAGCAGCAGGCGGGGGGCTTGGGGACTTGCTGCACTGCTCTCTTTGTTTGGCCATCCTTTCCAGAGTTTCTGGCAATGACATGACATCAAACATGAGACTAAACGCGCAAAAGCCCAGAGCAGATCTTTGAAGGGGTTAAAGTAAAAATGTCCAAAGAAATGTAGATAAACTGGAGATAAACTCCCTGAACGTCCAGTATTATGGATGTATGCCTATCATCTCACCAACAGTGAAGTCGGCTTCGATGTCCATGGGAGGCGGACCAGGAGGTGGTGCGGGCTCGGGCTCACTGGGCATGCCCACAGATACATCTAAAACTGAGTTGAACTTCTCGCTGGCGTAGGTTTTACTTGGTGACAAGGGCCCCGCGTCAGAGGAAGCATCCTCCCAGCTGTTGAGGAAAGTGGCCAGTTCGTCTGTGTCCAAGTCATCGCTGTAGTTACTGACATGGTCTACAAAACAACCATCACAGTGTCTGTTAGTACAGCATGAA